ACACCAAAAAAAAAAAACGTATTAACACGTGTTTTACAATAAATACACTTTAAATACGTGTCTACACATTAAGTGATGTATGGCTCCACAAAAAACCAATCTGATGGCTTCGTAAAATTTCTGGCGCGTGGTGTTACATACATAGTTTATATTTGTATGTGATATTAATATATTATTTTTAAGTTTTTCACATTTTTAATTAATCAAATAAAAGAAGAGAGATGATGTATATATTATTTAATGTGATTTTTAATAATATTTTCTTTATTTTTAATATATTTATGGTCTCTTCAATTTATTAATTTATATTTTAATTAATAAAAAAAATACATTACACAATAAATTGTGTTAAATTTATTGAAAGTTGAAATACAATTTTCGAGCAATAATATTTAAAAGTAATGATAAAAATGAGTGCATAAAAAATGTGGTTTACAAACCTTCATTATCTACATTAATCTTATTTATTCGAAACCTTTTTTTGTTTGGGGAAGACTGTAAAATATGCAAAGTAAAGTTAATTGAAATATTTTACAAGAATAATTGCATGTGATCATTTGCAATTATCTTATTTTATTGAAGATAATTTGTTGTCATTATTTTTATTGACTAAATACAACATTTATAACTCATTTAGATTTTAATAATCTTACAAAACAATTTAAATCGTTAAAAATGTTTTTTTTGATAAACTATAATTTTATTTTACTTATTAATAAATAAAGTAATTTAAATTAAAAGTTTCATATTGTATATAATGAACATAGTTTTGGTCTTCACATTAAATGTTTACAAAAATTGCGATTGAATAATTTGTGTAAAATATAAACCAACTAAATGTGTAGTGAACCACATAAGATGAGTACTCTTAAGTTCATAACTCCAAAACTTTGAAATCCCATCCAATGCACGATATAGATGAATCATAATAGATTTGATACTAAATAATTTATTTATTTATTTATTTATTTTTAATTTTTTTTTTTTACTGTTAGTTGTATTTATATATCATAGAATATATGACGTTAGATGTAATTTTTAATTAATAATTTATCATAAAAGTTATTGATTAATACTTGTTAAGTTGAAATATTAGTTCTAATAAATTCTTGTATTAGACGGAATAACTATTAGGCGTATCGACCTGTCATTTTTTTTTTCCCCCATAAAAGTATGTACTTATGCAATAAAATACTATACTGTTGTTTACATTGTTTTTTTAGAGTCTGCCAATTCATTTGAATGTTTACATACCTATTGGATATGTATGAAGGTTTAATCGTTAGGTCCACCAACAACCACTTTACTAATATGTTTAACATTTTCATTAAATACTCATGCAGTAAAATGTTATATTGTTGTTTACATTGCTTTCTGCTGCCTTCAGGTGTAGGTGCCACTAGCGGAGCTTGACTATTTTCTCTCGGAATCTGCAATTGGTCTCATCCTCCAGGTGGGTGGTTTGCATCAGCTCCTTTGGACGCATGCCTCTTGGCGGCGCATGACTGTTCAACAGAGTCATCCCGAGCATAGACATAAGTAGTTTTGGATTGAGTTCTAATGGGGGTTGCCTATCCGTCCAAGCTTCCCCGAAATCCTCCATCAAGTTTCTCTTCAAATGTCTCTCTATCAGCCATCTCAGTCATACAACTGGGTGAGAAATCTCTTAGTTCCTTTAAGAATTCCTCATAGACGACGCCAACTAATTTGTTGGAATGAGGATCTACCTAAACCGGTGATCGGAAGTCTCTGACCGTCCGAGCAAAGCTGATAACCTACAAAACAAGGGTCGGATGAGGTCCGAACTTGTGCACTCTAACGCTCAAGTCAATGATTGGAAAAAAGAAGAAGCTGGTAAATAATATCTAGAATATTCAAAGATTAGAGATAGAAGAAGCATTTCATTTGTACCTTTCCCTTTATATAGGGCGAGTACCTTGGTGCCCAATTATTTTTTTGGTTTCCAAGGACTGCTCGGAGGTACAGACGTGCAACCCAAGAGCTGCCCGAGATTCATTCTTATCTTGGTGTGGTACATTTATCTATGTCCAACCGTGTTCACTCTTAAGCGTTCACTTTATGCTACCTGATCATAATTATATATTTGTTCATGTATAGGTCGACCTATTGAGTGTTAGTAGGTCTCGTAAGTATTCAACTCATGTGCACCCAAATTGTCTCACAGCTGCCAAGGTCAAACAAGTCGATTGCACTATAACGGAGTTGGGTAGCTCGGTTAACTCTAATACTGTCTTCTTAGCTTACTCGACCTAAGTTAGTCCTGAACCGGTCGACCTGCCCAATTATGAGGTGTAAGTTCCGATCCAGCCGAGCTAGGGCTATATCACGTGCTAACAGAAAATATGTATGTTCATATTATGAAATGTTATACCCATGTTTATAATGTATATTAAATTGTTATATTTATGTATAAAGTATGTAATTTCATTATAATATAATAATTTTTTGATGATATATATTATATATGTTATATTATATAAAATGTCATATTTTTGTTTTTAATGCATTTTAAAGAATAACATCTGTAATTTTATTATAGTAGTATGTCTGCCTAATTATTAGATTGTATAACACAAGACCTTATGTTTTTATGCTCACATAGTAACAAATGATGTTATTAAAGTAGTATATGTCTGCCTACGGGTGTGTTCAATTAGGATTTCAAGTGATATTTTGAAAATTTTTAATAGTTTAGACTTTTTAAGATTTTCAAATTTGAAGTAATTCTGTGAAATCTTAAGTGTAAAGTTGAGATTTGAAATGTGATTTCGTATAAGTTTTTTTTAGAAATCCCACCAAATTTTTACAAAGTTTTAACAAATCTCAGTCTCAAATAAGTTAAATACCTCAGTATTTTGTAAGACTTTTTAAATTCTCAATTGAATACCTCAAGACTTTTAAAATCTTAACAAATCTAATTTGAATATACTAAGGTTTCTAAAGTTTTAAATTTTTTCTAGAAATCTCAATTGAATACACTTAAGCACAATTAGGTCTAATTGTGCTTAGCATCTATAATGCATTGAGTCTAGTCTTGCTTATGTGATATGAAAATAAACTCAAATCTTGAATGCCATGGATAAACTATGTAACCTAACAAAATCCACTCAAATCTTGGATGACATGGATAAACTATGTAAACCTAACAAAATCCACTCAAATTCAAAGAGACTAAGTCTATACTTGGGTCTAAAATAAACTTAAGGGTAGACTAAATCTTTTTTTCTGGCTGCCACATTAGTAAAACCCAGTCTACTTCTATTTGCATTGGAGAGTATATTTTCTTTGGACTGGGTATTTCTCAGGTGACATATAATTTTTTGTGAAAACATCTACAATGCTTTGGGTTCATTCAAAAAAATATACATGCTACATAGGAAATAGACCCGGTTATGTAGGGAAGCGTGAACGAAAGGAAAGGAAAAATGAGATAAATGAGATACTCTCTCGTAAAACACGTAAAATTAGATACTCTCTCGATAAAACTCACAATCAATTCATATTTTTATTCAAAATCAACTTGAGATAACAAAAGAGGGAGAGTCCTTTATATAAGGCTCATAAACCCTATTCCTAACTTGTCCAACAAGACAAGATCTTATAATAATATCTAATACCTAACTTATTCTCCAAGATAACTAATAACAATAATAATAATAATAATAATAATAATAATAATAATAATAATAATAATAATAATAATAATAATAATATTCTACACCATTCTCCCCCGGTTCGGAAGGCTTCGCCCTCGAAGCCGATGCGCTCCCGTGGCCCGCGTGTGGTGTCGAACTCATGGTAACAAATCCCGTCATTTTCCCCGGTCAAACACGAAGGTTGAATATCGCTCAACTTCACATGACAAATGGATTATCAGATCTTTAGTCTCATTGTGTTTCCACTGTTGTAGCGCAGTTTCTATGCCCAAATGCTCGTGGTGCTCATTTTTAGAATACGGAGCAATAAAACCAGCAACCTCTAGTAACATGAATGAATATTTTTCCAGTGGCTTACACAAGCCAAAATCAGAAAGCGTCACCTCGGGCCCCAGAGGCTCTTCATCGAAAATAGGCGGACCGTCGTAAAGTCAGTCCACTTTGCCGCTAAGACGCTCCTCGGGCCCTTCATCAAACACAGGCGGACCATCGTACAATGGCCCGTCAAAATGCTCTTCGTCGAATTCGAGGATGTTTACGCAAAATGGGCCCTCCCATCGACCAACCTCGCGAAAAAATTCTCTCTGCACAGGCCTAATTTATGCATCTCCTTCACATGCCCAAAAAAAGTATTTGGACTGCTCCTGCTGAGCCCCAAAATCGCCAACATCATTGCCGTTCAGAGGTGGCGAGGATCGCTGCCGGGGCGCCCCGACATGGCTGCGTTCCTCACGTCCGCCTCTGTCTCCCCCGCAAATGCCACGGCCCACAGCCCCATCGCGGTTCGTCTGCAATTCCGAAACAATCATGTTGTTAAGCGTCAAACGTAAATTCCCGATCCCCGTCGAAAGATGGGCAAACCAATCCATGAAACACACGTCCAATTGTTCAAATCGGTAGTCGATCTGTTGAAACCGATCGTTGAAGGTTGCATCACATTGTTTGTTTGTGGCATCTTCTCGTCCCGGCGACATCGCGGATCGTACTGACTGCTGATACCAACTGATGTAGGGAAATGGGTACAAGTGGGGAAAGATAAAAGAGATAAACGAGATACTCTCTCGTAAAACACGTAAAACTAGATACTCTCTCGATAGAACTCACAATCAATTCATATTTTTATTCAAAATCAACTTGAGATAACAAAAGAGGGGGAGTCCTTTATATAAGGCTCATAAACCCTATTCCTAACTTGTCCAACAAGACAAGATCTTATAATAATATCTAAAACCTAACTTATTCTCCACGATAACTAATAACAATAATAATAATAATAATAATATAATAATAATAATAATACTAATAATACTAATATTATTCTACACCACCCTGTCCAGAAAAATATGTACTCCAATGCAAGTGTAAGTAGACCGGGTCCTGCTTATGTGACGTCAAGAAAAAGAGAACCGTTCTAACCTTAAGTCTATTTTCGACCCAAATAGAGACCTAGTCTCTTTGCATTGGAGTTCAATTTGTTACTTTTATATATTTTTGTCTAGTCATCCAAGACTTAGGTCTATTTACATGGTTCAATAAGAGCATTTGCAATGTTATGAGTCTAATATTGCTTAGGTGGCATGTAAATAGAATTAAGTCTTGGATGACATGAACAAAAATATTTAAAAGTAACAAAATTGACTCTAATGCCAAGAGATTATGTCTCTACTGAGTCTAAAATAGAGTTAAGGATAGAATGGGTGTCTCTCTCTTTTTTTTTTTTTTTTTTNNTCTGCCACATCAGCACGACCCAATCTATTTGCACTTGCATTGGAGAGTATATTTTTCTAGTCTTGGTCTATTTCCTACGTGACATGTATATTTTTTTGAATGGACTTGTATGACGTAGTACCTTATGGCCTCGTTTACTAGAGATGATGGGATTGGACAAATTAATCCCTCCAATTTGCCACATCAGATTTTGGATACAAATTGTCCCATGTTTACCAAAGTGGATAAAAGTCTATGATAAATATATTAAATTACTGATTTAATTAATTAAATTAATATTTTTAAAAATAAATAAAATTATTTATATATTAAACAATTTTTTAAATTAAATAAATTAATTAAATTAATATTTTAGATTAAATAATGTTATTTTAGATTAAAAAATATTTTAAATTAAATAATATCATTTTAGATTAACAAAATATTTTAAATTAAATAAACTTATTTAAATTAATATTTTATAAATTAAATAATATCATTTTACATTAATTTAAATTATTTATATTAAACATTATTTTTTAAGTTAATAAAATTATTGAATTAATATTTTATAGATTAAATAATATTATTTTAAATTAAATAAAATTATATTACACAATATTTTATAAATTAAATATTACTATTAAATTAAATTATATTATTTTATATTAAACAATATTTTTTAAATTAAATTAAATTATTTAATGTAATATTTTATAAATGAAATAATTATTTTAAATTAAATTATTTTATATTAAACAATATTTGTAAATTAAATAAAATTATTATATACTAAACAATATTTGTAAATTATGTAAAATTATTCAAATTAATATTTTTTAGATTAAATAGTATTCTTTTAAATTAAATTAAATTATTTTATATTAAACAATATTTTTTTTTTTAAATTAAACAAAATTATTTAAATATTTATTTTATAAAATAAATAGTATTATTTGAATTAAATAAAATATTTTAGAATTTTTTATCCCGTCAACAAGGATACACGCGTGCGCCAATTCATGCCACGTCATATGTATCCTTGTCCCAATCCTATTTAGTAAACGAAGAATAAAGTTGGTTAATCCTATTAAACGAGGCCTATCTTTTTATACTCGAATAGTAACAAATTATGCGTCAATTCATATTTAACCGTTACGTTGGGACATGAGAAAAATATTCTTCCACATTAGAACATCCCATATTGATTTCAACCTATTTCGGGTCGGTTCAAGTGTCCGGTCCGCTCAAACCCGACCCAGAGTCGACCAACCTTACATGACACCATCACAGTATATACATTTCCAAGAACTATTGACTCCGCTCGTCTGAAAGTCCCCCCAACCTCCAACAAGTTTTGTCTTTGATAAACAAAAATTTCTAAATTCTCACGTCAAAACCTTCGCCTGCAAGCACTCATCTCTTTCACCTTCACGTTCGATCCAATCACATTCTCGATTACAATCGCCTATACACGCATCGCATATACGTCAATGGGAGGGGTGCCGTCAACGCCGCTGGTGGGCGGCGGAGCGCCGCCGCAGGACACGGCTGAAAACTTAATTGGGGCCTTCATCGGGAGCAAGTCGTTTCCCCTCGCCGACGATTACTGGGAGAAGCTTCTCGATGCCCAGCTCGATCTGCGCTGGCCTCCTGATCGCGTTCGCCAGGCATGCCAGCTATTCGGTCAGTCCATTGCTGGTTTTTCCTTTTTCTTTTTGGAAATTTAAGCTTAGGATGATATTTATTTTCCCTGAAGCTAGCTATTTGTGTGTTATTCTGACACGCTGTTCTGTTGTTGCATTTCGGGTGCGCTTTCACTCGAGCTGCAATCATAAATTTTTGAATTTGGTTTCACAAATGGAATTCAGTTCACAATTTTCTTTCCTGGATATGAGCCCAGTCGAGTCCTGTGCGTGTGTGTGGCTGTGGCGACTGTCGAATTGTGAGTTGTGACATATCAACTGGTTTGTTGCAATATGAAAAGAATTGATCTCTAGAAATCTGTGGGGGAGATGTGCTGTTGATAGCCCTTAGATTTTAATGGTGGAATTCTGTAAATAATATTCGGATGGTGTATAAATCTTCTCTGGGCAAGTATCATGCTTCAAATATTTGTATTAAATTCTACTCCATGTAAATCAGTCACATTGCTGTAATTAATTACGTGAACTCGTTTTTTCCTTTTACCCTTTTTTCCTTTCATGTATGTATGCTCTAGGATTAATTTAACTAAAAAGCTAGGAAATGTGAGCATTTGGCATTACCTTAGTTGTGAAACGTCTCGGAGTGATTTGGAGAGATTCACTGATTTTGTTATTGATCTGAAAATAGTTGATTGAAAAGGAAAGGATTCCAACTTTCGTCATTAATACATGCATTTATTAATCTTCTAATCTGGGCAAGTTTTAAAACTACATTTCTCGTTGGAGATACTTTTCTTGAAATATTAGTAAGTCATGGACTGCATTAGGCTTTAAGAAAAATATGTCCATGCAGACACATAGAAAAAGGATATCTATAGGCATCTATTATAATGTTGGTAAGTCATGAAATGTATGAGCATCTATTTAATTATTATGATAGTGCAATGTGAAATATATGGGTGGCAGCTGTCCTGAGTGTGCTATCTCTCAAGCTAAGAGAACTAATTCATGTATTGTTAATAAAATTTTAGTACACTGCATATCTTTAAGATGCTTTCCATTTAACTTATTCTGAGCTTGTTTGCATGCAGCAATGAACAATTGCAACACAAGACACCTTGTAAAGATTTTGATTCACCTAGCATGGTGCTTGCAAGATTGTTCAGCGTCTGATGTTCCATCTCCAGCTTATCCAAAAGCTCTTAATGCTTTATTTATGTTATCTGTTTTTCTGAAGAATCTGATTGAAAATGCTAAGAGTGACAACTTTGAAGAACTATACCTCTCGCTGGGCGAAACTGAACCAACACCAACTAATTTTTCAAAAGGTTCCATTTATTTTCTTACACATAGCAGTATTTTTATGTCCTTGTGTATGTGTTTGCACTCCTTCTGCATTAAGAAACTGTTCTATTTTTATTTTACTGTACCCATTGATAATTGGCATCAGCGCATATCTTTAGTCTCCTTCAGGTCTGCTGTTTTGGGGAAATTTCTTTTCTTCATTTCTCCATGTCTTCTTGTGGTGCAGTTCTGATCAGTAAACAAATAGTTGCATAAACACGAGCAGTGAAACATCTGCCATGACAGACTAATTTGCATGGCAGTGCTTTGGTTTTTACTTAGCTTTTGACTCAGTTTGATTGAGGTGCCTGATGAAGGTCAAACAATTTTGCCAGTATTGTGAGAAAATTAAACTTTGGCATATACAAGTTCGATATCTGCTGTCTGCTGGCTAGGGTTTTCCTGTATGATAAACTTGGTTGGTCATTTTCCCTAACAGTAACTCAAGGATTTGGCGTCGAATCACCTGTACAGTACTGCTGAAATGATCATGATATTACTTCTTCTGTAGTTCATATTTTTTCAATCACCAATGTGTCTTTTCATTTGTAGCGATTGTGATTCGTGTGGAAGACGAGTCAGTCTGAGTAAGGTTGGCTTATCTAAATATCATTCGTGATGTGTGACTGATTGTGATTGATTCTATTTTTCTGTTATTTATTTATAGATATAAACTGCTGGTTCTCAGGTTAAACCATTTTGAAAAACAAATGTATGTTCCTTCAGAGAATAACATCTAGGCCATAGACATAATAAGATACCCTAATAACTACGTGGAATCAGAAAGTTGTACTTTGCCTTTTGCAGTGAACTGCTTGAAAATGACCTTTATTTGTTCTTATGGTGAATTCTTCATATATGGTGCCTTCTCTATTAACTTGCATTACTTAGTTAGATGTTCTATATCATTTGTTCTTCCTTTAGTGAATGTTAAAAACCATAGATATTTACCCATTAGTCCACCATTTCGTACTTTCTCTTTCTCTCTTCCCAATTGCTTTTTGATGGTTGGTAGTATACTCGACTTTGTTCCTCATCTCTTTCACATTCAATGCAGGTAAAGAAGTTGAGAACTTTGTTATGTACAGTGCACTCAACTTCATTGCCAGAGTTGATATTAGGTACATATTTTATATTTGGGACCTAAGTCCATTGATTAAACTTTTCGCTTAAATACCTTCTTATGCGATTTTCTCAAGTCCTGGAACATACCTTCTTCATCATGAGTTGCTTGACTTCATGCTGATTGCTATGTCTACTCAACTTTTATCTGGGCCATCACCTGGACTGGATGACAAACATCCTTTCATTGATGCAGCAATGGTGCAGGTAGAACAATGTAACTTTATAGTATTGCTAGTTATGAATTAACTTTTCCATGTTAATATGACTGCTATTTCTATTTCTGCAGGAACTTCATTTGGTTAATTCGGTAGTGCATAAGTTGTTCCTCAATTACCTCATACACCCTGGAGTTCTGCCAAACAGTTTATCTTATACCATATTTCCTGAAGGAAACCAAGCTGATGTTTTGAGGAGAGTCGGTATGGCTGCTACTACAGATAGTGTGGCATGAGCATTGCATTCATATATGCTTTTAACTTATGATATTAATTTATAGTTTATTAGATATTCTATATGGCTAGGACTTGTTTCTTCATAGGATATTTTGGAACATTGTTGTTCTATTGGCTCAGTTTTATATAAAAGGTGAACAAATTTTTTAGCTGCATTCATACAAGTGGACTTAAATTTGCATCCCTTTTTTAAATGATTGGACAACTTAGTTGCGTAACCTTGAAATTAGTTGTATCTTGTTTTTCAAGGTGTTATCTCCCAGTCCATCTGTGTCTGTTGAAGGCTACGATGCCTCGTTAATGGTATCGATAGTAGGTTTTCATAGATATCTTTAAATTGTCTCTGTATTTTCTGTCTATGACTGGGCTACCCTTTTTATATGTGAATCTCTCGTGGTCTGTGTCACTAAGAATGTGTCTTATACTTGCAGCAAACTTGGTATTGGTGCCCTTTCATTACATTGCGAGCTCAACTAGTGCAGCTTCCAGAAGTCGATTGGCTGAAAGCAGTCTTAATATTCTGCTTATTCTTAGTCATTACCATAAATGCATGCGAGTGGACGGGAAGAATAATAGTGATTATAGCAGCTCAGAGTCTGTCTTTAAGGAAGATACATATTTCTTAGAAAACCCATACCGCAAAGCGGTCGAAAATGTTAGAGATACTGAATGTATGATCCTGTGCCATGTTCTATCATATGTTATAAGATTTATGATTTTTGGTGCTTAAGTCTTGGAGTGGTCTGTCTGCAGTTAATCGAGTTGATATTAAGGGGAATGCACAAAGTGATCCACTCGTGAGGCTACCTTTTGCTTCTCTGTTTGATACTCTTGGCATGTGAGTGTGCTTTTTTTTTTTTTTTTT